CCACCTCCTGTCAAATCAGCCCAGGGCATTAGATTATATTCTTATAGGAGTGTGGAACCTACTATGAACTGCATGCAAGGGATCTAGGTTGTGGGCTCCTTATGAGTCTAATGCCTGATGATCTGAAGTAGAGCTGAGGCGGTGATGCTAGCTCTGGGGAACCGCTGCAAATACAGATTAACATTAGCAGTGAGGTTTGACTGCACCGAGACCATAATAAATCAATTGCTTGTATACTCGTGTTAAAGCTCTATCAGTGAATGACAGGTGAGTTGAAGTCCTTCATTTGTAGGTCTGCATCTTGTGGCAGGCTTTAAGTCAGAATCTAACACTTATTTTAGTCTGTACATGGACGGTTCATTATTTTATTTACCACTAATGTCTGCACCTCTTTTTTTTAATGGTGAGTTGTATAATTATTAAATATTACAATGTAACAGTATTATGTGATTGAATCATACCAAAACCACCACCTCACCTTCTCCCCACCAATGGAAAAATTGTCTTCCATGAAACTGGTCCCTAATGCCATAAAGGTTGGGGATCACTGGTATAAAGTACAAAGTTGTAGAGAAAGAAGAAGTAATATATACCTCGTTATTAGGAGAAAGACAGACTAATCAGGGTGATTTGAAAGTCATAGAGATAATAAATGTATTATAAAACTACTCTCATGTTGCAGTATATGCCTTACTAATATTCAGAAAGTCTAGAAGGAAAAAATAAAGGGTACCTAGTGTCATAATGCTATTAAAAATATAAACTGGTGGAAAGCGTTTTTAACAAATGAATACAAGTCATGTTTGACTTCTGCAATTACAAGAGGTGCTCAAAGTGGTTACCATCGTGTCCAGACTCTTCTGAATGTAGTGAGCTACTGCTTGAGTGGCGTTGACAAGGGTACTCTTGTATCGCTGTGCATGCTGTTTCAGTTCCTTCCTGAAGAAACACCGATGTAGCTGATTTTCTACAGTATACCACATCCTTTAACATCCTGCATAGGTAGAAGTCAAGGTGTGTTAAGTCAAATACCACTTCTAAATGATCTTGCACTCCTAGAAGGACAACCGTGGTTCTGCTGTTTTTTTTTTTTTTTTTTAAACTGCTCTGCCTGTTGCATGGTGATGCTAGTATTCACTTGATTAACGCCATCTTTTGAGTGGATGTCATAGTACACATTGCTATTGTAATCAATTCAACTTCAAAAAGTAATGCATAGCCGGGCGGCTCAGCCTGTAATCCCAAGCTTTTGGGAGGCTGAGGTGAGTGGATTGCCTGAGCCCGCGGGTTCGATACCTGCCTGGGCAGCGAGACCTCATCTCTACAATAAATCAAAAAATCAGCTGGGCGTGGTAGCGCGTGCCTGTAATTCCGGCTACTTGGAAGGCTGAGGTGGAAGGATCGCTGGAGCCCAGCAAGTCGAGGCTGCGGTGGCCGGGAGCGCCCACTGCACTCCAGTCTGGGCGACAGAGTGAGACTCCAATTAAAAAAAAAAAAAAAGTAATACATAGATAACATCTCCTAAAATGTGTATACTTTTTGTTTATATATATTTTGGGGCACCGTGTGTGTGTGTGTGTGTGTGTGTGTTCATGTATTTTTATAAATTAATAAAACAATATTGCATATTGAAAAGTATTTTTATAAATTTAGCCAGCTTTCATATAAGGCCATATCAAGTTGAATTCCTGTAGCCACTGTTTATCTTCTTTTCTCACCTGTATGCCTAAAAAATACTTATAGTACTAGTTCATTAAATATGCCAGTTTTTTTGTTTTTTCTTAAAGTTTATATAATTTTAAAAATCCACTGGCTTGTTTAGGCTTTCACACATATAAAGAGAATAGATTTATTCTTTTTATGGCCCAAGATAAGTGGAATAAAATGCTCATTTATTTTAATTCTAAATTATACATATAAGGTTCTCACTATTATTGGAAGGGGCAGATTTTCTTCGAATAGGCAAACAATTTAGCCTTCCTTTTAGCCTCTGTTTACTTTCTGACCTCTGTTGATTTATTCAGCTTGTAACCTAGAAACCAGCTAAAAAGGAAGGAAGTCAGAGATGTGTATTTCTGGGCAGTAACTGGAGTAGTTTCCTCTTCCCCTGGCCTGGTGTAGCTGCCAAAAAAGGCTTTTTTTCCCCACCCCCGCCTCCCAATAAAAAAAGAAAGAAAGAAAAATTAACAATAACTCTTCACCTTTTTTCCTTAGTCCAATAATGAAGATAGAAGTCATAACAACCACTTTAAAGGACTGATAATGCTATTCTCCTCTTGGTACTCTGATCTATCATCCCTAATGAATTGTAAGAACAGGAGTAAAATAAGACTTTATGTAAAAGCTTGAAAATTATGCTTGATATTAAGTGGTTTCTCTATATCATTACTTTTACCAGAGTGCCAGACCAGAGTCTCATTAATATTTTTATATTAGCCATACGTTGGTGGCATGTGCTTGTAGTCCCAGCTACTTAGGAGATTTAGACTGGATTGCTTAAGCCCAGGAGTTCAAGGCTGCAGTGAGCTATGATTGGGCTGCTGTATGCAAGCCTGGGCAGTAGGACAAGACAGAGACCAGTCTCTAAACGTATGTACATATATATCATTTTTTCAAGCCCACTTTAGGTGTGTAAAAGGTATTCATTAGGAGATAGCTGTAACTCTTTGCATTCTTCCTTTGCATCAAGTATTGGCTGGAGAAGCTCTTTGTAGTAGTGGTTTATAGTAACATAGATATAGTTTGAAGTACTTTAAAAAAATGTTTCTTTTTCAGTGTTGATGTTGTATACTTTGATTTTACTTAAAAAAAATAATATTTTGTATGTTACTAGGAATGCATGACTTGAGAAAATTGTATTGCTGACCAAGAATGATTCTGTGGAGGACTTACGATAGTACTTGAGCAACAAAGACAGCTGTTTTTAAGCTTATTTCATATATAGTATAGTGAAGCCTGAGTTAATTGAATATTTTAAGATAAATCCTATAAAATATTAAACTCATTTTCTAACAAACAATAAATTGGAGAAAGTACTTTTAAGTTTGAATGTACTAAAATTTGATAGTCTAATATTAATCTGTATCAAACATTTTTTTTGTTGTTGTTTGGAGCTCAGAATAAGGTGGCCATATTTATCAAGTTGTTTGCTTGGTGACTTATATGATATTGTGAGTTTTAAAAAATTTCCGTATGTGTTTCTATTATGACTGAAGTATTAGGATGCTATGTTTGATTTAATATTCACTTAAGCATTATGAAAAACACTTTAAAGTTTCATGTTAGCACCATCCATGTTCCATAAAATAAAATATTACATTTTAGGTGCTATTTATGTTCTATAAAATAAAGTCATATTTTTACAGCCTTAGACTAATCATTTCCCATCTCTACATCCTTAAAACGAGATTTTATACGTTCGAGCCTATTGTATACTAAATGGAAAATATCTTCTCTTCAGTCGTTACCCTGATAATTTTTGTGACATGAAAGTGATACATCTAGAGTAGCTACAAGAGATTACATTAAATATGTGGTATTAAAAAATCAGTATGGGGGTGGGGACAAAAATAATAATAAAAATAAATCAGTGTGAATTTTTAGACTTACTGAACTTGAAATACCTACAGGGGGACAAATTTTTAATAAAATTTGCATAATCATATAAAAATAGGTTCAGTATTTTCTTGCACTTGCAGGTATATTTCCAAATTTTCAGTGCATGATAACCATACCTATTTCCTCTGTTTCATCATGTGTTCTCTACAACAAAACTGAACCCATTTCATTTAAATTTTAATACAAAAGCATGGTTGACTGAGTATATGGCTAACTTTCCTTCCCCAAGTCAGAAACTGGTAAATTTCACTGGTTACTTTAAGGGTTAAAATTTACTTATTGTGACAAATTAGATTTGACTTGATATTTTGCATACAGCCACAAATGCATACTCTACCTCTGCTCCTTGATTTGTTGAGTAGCTGAAGTTAATTTTATGTTGTCGTGTAAGCCTCTACTATAGAATGAGAAATTATTAGGTCATCCCAGTACAGTAGAAATAAAGCGTGAACTACATGAGTGATTTTAAGTATTTTAGTATTTACAGTAAAAATTTAAAGTTAGGTAGATTAATTTTACTCCATTTTATTTAACCTAGTATATCCAAAATACTAATTTAACATGTAGTCAACATAAAATTATTTATGAGGTATCTTACATCCTTTTTTAAAAAATACACAATGTGTAATTTATACATATAGCACACATCTTAATTCAGATTGACCGTATTTCAGGTGCTCAAATGCCACATGTGGTTAGTACTATATTGGACAAAACTCTAGAATTTAGATAGAAGACACCATATTAGATAACACATCAGAAAAATGTAAGTTATGCTTTTGAATTACATCTTTATCTGAGGGCTGTCTAGATTAAATTGTTTTTATAAAGAGTGAAAAGTGTTTCAGTAGTATTTTTAGATCTGCCAAAATAAATATTGCCAGTTTGTATGCCTTTTTGAATAAAATGCCTCTGAGATTGTTGTTATGTCGTTTGATTTCACTCAGACTGTTAAACCAAAAATATTTCAAATTGATTTTTTCTCTGAATTTTTCAGTGGGGAAAACGATTAAACTAAAAAATAAATTCTTGCTTGAAAACATACAAAGTATTTTTGATGGTTTAAAATTGTACTTTATTTTTGCCAACTTCAGAGATATTTACGTATTATTTATTTTCTGCACTTTCTAACCTTGGTAAATCTGGAAAGCAAAAACTTTGAATTTGCATTTGCTTTATGAAGGAGACAGTAAACTTGAGCTCTCAGTCTCGCCACTAGTCTGTCTTTGTCTGTTGTTAAAATTATGAGCCAGTCTCTATGGCCGCAGCCAAATGAGTAATCACCAGTAATGTGACTCGTGCTGGAAGTGACTCCATCAGCACCTGTGACGGGGGATTAGTTACAGTTTACAGAGCACCGCCTCTTCCCTTCTCTCAGTGTGCCCTAAGCCAAGTACTCGTTCTCATTTGGGTGTCTGCACTGTTGGAAGCTACTGCAGTGTTTCCACGCAGACAGCGTACAGTGGGGAAGGCTTTCTCTAGCTGATGGATGGCTGTTCTCTTTATTTGGAGTATCTTACTGGTTATGTAAGCGACCTCGGGAGAAATTATCCTAACCCAGATCGGAGGATGCAGTAGTGCTTCAGCTGCAGGATTTCTTAGTCGTTAACACCACAGTGCTGATGACAAAGAGCGAGTTGTAATCCTCATCATTGCCAGGGCTGAGCCAGAGCAGACAGAAAATCGTCATTTGCTCGTCGGAGGCTTGTTAGGTTAGAGCTCCTGCTTCGGTCTGTGGTCTTGGCTTTTCTTCCTATACAATGACGCCGCTGCAAGTTAGCTCAGAAATGCTTGGTTTGAGAGACATTTGCCTGTGATTTTGAAGACTGAAGAAGTATTTACGCTAGATAAAAAATACTGATGAAGAACAAAATGGAAATTTCAGCAGTACTTGTTGGCCTTTAAAGCCTTGTCGTGGATTTCTGAGATTTAAAGGTACTTTAAAATTCTCAAGAACAAAGTACGTTTTGTATTTTTCTGCTTCCTTTTTCTTTTGTCTTAATTTACATTTGGTTTTTCTTCTCGGCCTTAGGAATTAAGGTCATTGCCTTTTATAGATCTAGCCTGTGTTCTTAGTTAAAATTTTTTTTTTAACTTTTGTTTAGAAAGGTTTATGTGTTTGTAGTAACAAAACTGTTAAAGATATTAATTAAAAAACTAGTTCAGTTGTTTAAAGTATGGCAGAAGTGTTTCAAATTAGTGTTTTTAGACTATCATGTTTCAAGGGAAGTAGGGGTATTTGTTTTGTGAGGTTTTCTTGGTGGTGTATTCCCTCCCCACCCCCAACTTGTTTTCTAACAGTATCGTGTTTTTCAATAGACCTGCTTGGGTGGGAATTTGGACTTTGTTCTTTTAAGTCACTCCAGGCCCCCCCCCCCCTTTTTGGTAGACTAAGCCTTGACTTATAAAATGTTGCTTAGATTGTTTTCTGCTTTAGTATTTAACCTTTGGTGAAATTTAAATCAGTATTTTTGTAGTTACAGAGATTGGTTTTTCTTTTTAAAGTTGGAAAAGGAATTGTTAACTGCTAACCGGAGAATGTTAGAAACTAAGACTGCAGACATAACCTCCGTGTATTTCCTGTTAAATGTTAAATGCTGAGCGTTAACATGGGTTGTTTGAGCAGCTGAGTTGTGTTTGAGAGCTGCAGCTGATTTATTTTAAAAATGTTTTTCGGGGAGGGCTCATCTGTTCGCCTCTTCCTCATGTGAATGGAATGTGGTGCAGCATGGAGCCCCAAACAGGATACAGTTGTTCTGAGCATTCTTCCTATAGTTGGTAGGCCCTACTAGAAATGCAGGCTCTCAGCTATATTTATTTTGGCTTTAGACTATTTTTACAGTATATTTAACATTGATAAATGACCTTAAAAGACCATTAATAAAATTAAGTGTTTGGTTTCAACATGGATATTCAGATTTAAACAAATAATTTTATTTGAATTTTCAGATACTTTTTTTCAGCATTTGAATAATAGTCTTTTGTGATTAGGGCCATATTCCACTGTGACTTTCGTCAGATGGTAGCTCATTGCTTCCCCTTAGGCTGTGGAAGTTCCTCATTAAAAAAATATATCTTTAGAGCATTGAATTAGTTAATACATGAATTCTGGTTTCTTTACATTCCAGTGCACCTAGACCCATGAAATATTTTACTACAGATTCATCATAAAAGGAAAGGATCCATTTGTTTTTATTGCAATATGAATATTTTTATTTTTAAACAAAGTTTCTCTTTGAAACATGTTAGTGTTGGATATAAAAATTAACAGTGGTCTCATCGTTGATGTGACACTTAAAAAATCAGGGTGTATTTTAACATCATTTCATAGGTTGTTTACCTTTCGTTTTTCCATGAAGTAAAATAGTTGCACATATTCACTATTGCTCATTTAATACATATTGAAGCATTTACTTAACAAATACTGTAAAAGTATCAGCACTTTTTATTTGCTATGTGAGAAGTAGCAAATAAACTTCAGACCGCCATTTGTAGATGATTATATGTAATCATGTCCTTGTTCTTAAGAGTACTCATATTTGATTGTTGTCAGCTAATTCTTTTACATTTCTGGCAGCCAAATTTTTTTGTGGTTTTCAGTTAGGTATTTTAAAACATGAAAAATTCGTTTTTGAAGTTTTATCCTAGAAATCTTTTTTTCTAATTAACTCAGAGTAATTTAAATTATAAGTTGGCTTGTTGAAATTTACTCTTAGAACTCTGACCTCCCTTGTAAAGGAGAACTCAGAGATTCTCTTCAGAAGAATGTTTTTCATATTATAAAATGACTGGGTCTCATAGGAAATGCAAACCACCTGTATTATTTGCGTAAGAAAGAGGCACTCCAGACAGAAGTTTACTTCTTTTTCAGATCCCACTTAATTGAATTGTATCTTTAGCTATTTAGATAATACCGTTTGTGGATCTTTTTGTTAACCTTCATAGGTTGACCTGACATGGTAGTGTTGGAAAATAAATAGATCTTTTGACAATGTTCAAGGATTAAAAGTCCTCTTGAGAAGGTGCCAGTGTTTTCTAGTTTACTAAAAAATAAACTGATAAAGATATAATACGAAGAAACCTTTTTTATAGAAGCCAGCTGAAATTATCTTTTTATGCCAATCACATAGTGGTAGGCATTTTTAAAGCCTAAATAAAATGAGTGCTCTTAGATTTTTTACATACTTTTAGTCACTTGTTAATTGAAATAATAGGATTTTATGAAATGATAATTTTAGGAGTTTTTTTCTTGGTGAATGAATGTTAGATGAGATCAGGAGAAGAAAATAGCTAAATAATGTGACTATTTTCTACTTTGAAAATGTAATTTCTCATTCAAATAAAATACTTTTGATAAATATGTATTTGTATTTAAAAGATTAGCCTAGGAAATGGGAGGGAGGTGTACTTGCTGCGATTAGATTTTTCTAATCTTAAATATTGAAAATAAGTAGGGACATAAGAGAATTTTTTCATGATATTTCAATTAAGAAAAGATGTTATTTATAAGTTAATGTTATAGATAGTATAGAAATAAGGCATGTGTAAAATATTAAATTATTGGGTTTTCTTATATTATTTCAGATTGTTGTGAATCTACTTGAAAATCTTTTTAGGGTTTTTTTAAATATAGAAATTAACTCCTTAGGAACCACTCTAAACCGAAGATTTTGAAGTTTTTCCCCAGAGTATGTTTGTTGTGATAACAAGATGTTACTTATTTTTTTAAGACTTAATAAGAGAAGGGGAAACACAGTTACTTTGGAAAGCTTGGGGATTTTTACTATCTATCCCAAAAGCTTTGTTTTGTATCAGAATGGTCATATAAGTTGCTTTGTAATGAGAAAGATTTATTAATGTGATATAGGTAATTTAGAAGCTGAGTTGGTTGTTAATTCTTTTTCAAACTTTGATTCTTAAAGCCACTATATGTTTTTAAGATGGTGGAATTTTGTTTTCATTTTCAAGTTTTTAGAACAGTATTGGGGACTTAAGACACTTGTTTTTTATTCTGTCTTCATCTACTTTGAAAGTGAATGAGTGTGAGTCATAAAGAAATGTATACATGGTATCCCTATTTCCTTCCTTTCTCTTCTTCCCCTGCCTCCCTCACTCCCACCTACACCCTAAGGTATGAATAAAATCTTTTCTGTGAGAAGTAGGTGGTCTTTAAAAGAATCAAATGACCTTGGATTCACTGTAGATTTGAAGAAACTTGACTGCAGTGTAGGTTTTGCGTAGTACCTCATACTGACCTCTTTCTCTACTCCCTCCATGCTGCTCTCACTGAATCTGCTGGATTTTTATTTGTGCTTGGTGCAGAAGCGGGGGTGGGGAGTACAAGGGGCGGAGTTAAAAGACCAGATGCTTCCTGATTATTTAAAATCCTGCTTAATGTAAAGGAGCTAGACAAAAATTATACATTGAAATAATAACTACTCACTATTATGAAAAATAATACTTACAGTTTAAAAAGGAAGGGGATACGTTTTTGTCCAACCTAGTTTACTGCTTCACAGTTTCTTTTTTTAAGCAGAAATTTTTACACACCTGCATATTTAATTATGTCCTTTTTAAAAAATAAACAGCTGGGGCTTACACTCAGATTTTTCATAGATCTGCTTCATTCCTTTTAAATAAATAAATAGCCTATTGTGTGGATAAAAGCATTAATTCATTTTTAATGTTAAAACTAATATTAATTGGCATCCTAAAACCATTGTGATAATGACATTAATACATTTTATTGATATGTACCCCCCTCACATTTTTAAGATACAACTCAGAAAATAATCTTTAGAAATATTTTGTTTTGTTTTGTTCTTGACAGACTTTCAAACCCCTGGTTGAAGAAAGCATACCCAGTTCAATCACTGCAGTAGAATTCCTTGTAGATAAGCAACTGGATTTTTTAACTGAAGATAGTGCCTTTCAGCCTTACCAGGTAAGAAATTTTAGATTACTTTTAAAAGTTAACTGTTCATTAAATTTTACTGATATTCAAATATTGATTCTTTTGAAATACTGTTTCCACTAACATCTAGTTGTGCAAAGAACCCAATGAATGCACTCAATAGATTTTGATTATAGGGTAGATAATTCATTTATTCAATCAACAAATATATACTGGTACACCTAGTGTGAGCCTTGTAGCCTTCTGTTGCTAAGATTACAGAAACCAACAAAATAGTCTTTGATGTTCCAAATAATATTCATTGTTAGAAAATAGCTGCTTAGGCAGAACACAGTGGCTCATGCCTGTAACCCCCAGCACTTTGGGAGGCTAAGATTGGAGGATTGCTTGGGCCTGGTAGTTTGAGACCAGCCTAGGCAACACAGTGAGACTTTCCTCTACAAAAAAATTAGGCGGGATAGGACATGCCTGCAGTCCCATCTACTTGGGGAGGCTTAGGTGGGTCGACGCTGTGGTGAAGTTGAGGCTGTGGTGAGCCCTGATTGTGCTACTGCACTCCAGCCTGGGTGACAGAGTGAGACTCCAACTCAGAAAAAGAAAAGAGAAGAACTGGTTAGATCTTAGTATAAGTTATCTTTGTCTTCAACTCTAAAGGTTAAAAATGGAGTCAATTATTGTAATTAAATGAGATTAGTGTTTACTGTGTGTATACATATCAGTCTAGCATAATAGCAGTTAATTTTATTTATAAGGGGAAATTTTCCTTTAGGTTGTTATTAATTGAACAACTTCATTTTAGTTTCCTATTGTTGAAATACAAATATATTTAATTGGAAAATCATTTAATAGACTATTACTATGTATGTAAATTATGTGAAGAAACTCATCAAACATAAAGCTAAATGTTTAAGATTTTCTAGTGACGTTATTAGTTAAGTTTTTAAGGTGTAAGTAAAAGCTGACAAATTTGTTTTTATTTGGACTTGAGACTGAATTAAATCTGTAGGTTATTGTAGGTTTCTTTTTACTCATAGTAGTTTCAAGAATGCAGCATTGAAAGGATGAGTGAACTAATTTAGTTTAGCCTTTTTTCCCCCTAATGAGATAGAAAGTTAGTAGTATTTTATTTCAGACTAGTTACTGGTTTTCAAAAAATAAAATGTAGAGCCTTTGTTTCCATGGAAAGAACAAGGGGTTGTGTTAATGAACCATGGTTTGTTGTGCATGAAGTTATGTAATACTTAGGGAATTAGAGTAGTTCTACTAAGTCCCCCAAAATGAGATGGTTTTTTAGCATAAATTTTATTTCTTATTTTGAAGTCGTCATAGATGCACTTTTGTCTTTCCATGTTATTTTTCTTAAGTCTTTAAAGGCCTAGTATTTTGAATTGTTAGCTTTTATTCTTTGCTTGTCTTTATTAGCTAAAAATTCACAGCAAATCCTGGTTTAATAGTGGAGGTGTTGGAGCTTTTCTCTTGGATTTTATTTTGTTTTTAATTGTGAATGCCATTTAACTTACTGTAGACCTTATCATTTGTTTCATTTCTAACAGTCATTTAAAGGTTGTTAAAATAAGTGAATCTAGGTGAAATCAAAGGAACTTCCAACTCTTAATATTTTAATTCTGTGGTTTGCATTATTAGCACTTTGGAAGTTTCAGCTTGGATTTGATTTAGAGAAGTGAAATTACTTTCAAAAATAAACTCTTACCAGGTGGCCTAAAACTCTACAACATGTTTTTTAAGATGATAATGATTGAAAGACTATGCTAACATAGGGGGGTTTTTCCTAACTTTTTTTTAAACATGGTTTTTCTGGTCATTTTTCTTTTTATTAAAAATAAATGCATAAGAACAGAAATCTTAATGTGGTGATGAATTCTATGATTGTCTTTGTTAGTAAGCTTTTAAACTGTTCTGTTAGTATATATGCAAGTTGATCTCTGGTCTAGAAGGATACCAAATTTTCCAGAATTGAAGTGATTGACTTGACATTTTAACCAATTGTCTTCTCCAAAAATGTGAGTTCTGAATTGGAAGAAATCAGGAGGAATTATCCTGAGAGTATTTGATTCAAGATCTGTCATACTTTAATTTTAAGATTTCTTGAGTTTTAGAAGTGATAGTCTACAGCAGGATTTTCCTGTATGCATTTTAATTTTTGTGTTTTGAGTTTTTTAAAAAATTAGATTACATAAATATAAAAATATTTTCTCTAGTATGTAAATGGTAGATATTTATTTTAGCATTTTGAATGAGAATTTATGACCTTTACCTAAGATGGCTTTTACCTAAGATGGCTTAGTTTAGTTTTAAATGTATTTATTTAAATGAATTTGTGAAATATAGACACATCCTAGGAAGAGGGAAAAAGAAAATTAGAGTTCATGTAATTAGAATGGCTTTATACCACATTGCTTTTTTTTCTAACCAGTTTTCCGAGTGGTACTTAAAACTCCTCGGCATCTTAAATATGGCAGTTGTTACTGGCATAGATTTTGTAAGTAGTGCCTTGACCTATCTCAACCTTAGACGAACCCTATGTAAGTCAAAGGAGTTTGGGGACACTTGTTAACAAGCTTTTTTCGTCAATCTCCTTGTTTTTTCTCACTTCTTTACATTTCATGAGGCAATTTCTTTGGAATTTGGATGCTAGTTGTCCTTTACAAACTTTCTGAATGGGGGGAGAAAAGAAAAAGATCTCTTCCTTGGAAATGGCCTTTGTGTATATATATTTTTAGTCTAGAGTGATGAGTACACATAAGCTTTTAAAATTTCCACAAATGGTTTGCTGTGAATCTAATTAAATGTTTTTGCAGTGGGAATTCCATCTTCCTCCTTGAGTTCTCAGTGGTTTATTCTGTTGCAGTACCTTTTATTTAGTTACCTTTGCAGTTGCAAAGCCCTGTTTTTATTAAGTCAGAATAACATAGATGTACTGTTTGGAAACAGATGACTCAAGATTAGTACAAGCTATTTTACTTTTAGGTCAGTGATTTGAATCCTACCATTTACTCTCTGATTTCAATGTATTAAATATCAGATGGGAACTATTAAGTTAGTTGAACTGGTTGGCTTTGTTGGTGGCATGTAGTTGTGTATTCTGGGGTACAACCGTTATAGATGATAGTTTTCAGTATTTTGGAAAGAAAGTGACTGAGTAAAGAAATTGAAATCAACATTTTACAGTCAGTATAATGGATGCATATAAATAAGTTACTGAAGCAACTTGCCATGGTATTGTTAAGTGTTTTTTTTTTTCTCTTCCCTCTGCACACAAATGAGTTTCTACTTCCTCCTTTTAGGTTTCCTGATCATGCCTGACTGCAGTTAACTTTCTTTGAAGTAGAGGGGGAAGGGAAAAGGGAGAGGAAGTAGGAGGGAACTCTGCAGATTCTACTGTCTTTCTGCTGTCTGGAAGGAAGCAGAAAAACACAAATTATTGCTTCTTAAAGATGGTTTTTATAGTTCTTTTTTTTCTGGTCACTATAATCTTTGTAGTACTGTTGCTTTACTTTGGAGTATTATTGTATAAGTTTTACAAAACCTCATTAAATTTGATAACAATTTTGCTCAGGTTCATGTAAATAAATTGATAATGAAGTGGGGCAATCAACTTTTAGTTTGATTTTGAAATTATCTTATCTTGGATATTGGCTACTGGCCATGCACACACCTGCAGTTTTCAGGTTGGTTGCATCATAGAGGATATAGAAGAGATTATTTCTTACCTGAAAGTTGTAAATGACTCATATCAATTAATCTGGCATGTCTGGCTTGTTAGTCCAGTATTTTCTAGGGATCACAATCCTCTTTGCTTATAAGTGCAATAAATAAAATAAAGGGCACTAGTTAAAACCATTAGTGATTTAGTGTAGAATGCCCTTGTCCAAAATTAATACCCATGTTTATCTTATTGTATGTTAAAATTTAGTGTAGTGGAATGTTTTCCCTAGAATAATGTAGAATCATAAATCCTAGACTTGTAGGAATGATTTCATTTGAAGTACTAGGTTATAATGGGCTGATAAAAGTTTAGCGATAAGTCTGTCAATAGTGTAGTTTCTATCATTGTAGGATATAGACATTGAACCTACAGTACTTTGCTAAATACTAGGTACAGTACTGCTGTGCTTTGAATTGCTGATTGGAGGAAAACGAATGGGTGGAACAAACCCGAGTATTTTCTTAATACCTATTCTAGTGATTGCTTAAAGACTTGAACAGAAAATATTATATTATCTAGTAAATGAATGTGTCTGCGCTATACCAGATCTGTTAATCTATCATTTCTGTAGTCTTTCAGTGATATAGTTGTTTTTCCAGTTTGAGTCCATTTTAGCCTGTAATTCTTTCATCATTGATTATAAAAATTTATAGACTGTGGTTTCCGAATATCTCTTAGGTAATTGTTTCTCAACACATCTAGTTTGTTAAAAATACTTCAAACAGTTGCCCTAGGATAAGTTAGCAATAATTTAAGGTGTGATATATAGAAGAAACATGTATTTTTTTCTCCTAAAGTTGTGTTATTGTCCTGTGGAATTTGGAATTTCTTCATAACTGGGATGAAATAATGTAAGTGAGGTGAAAGTTAGCCCTCAGTCAGCCAAGGTGAACAATTAACTGGTTGGTTGTTACTAGCCAAGTGTTATACTTTGTTGAATTAAATAGTTGACATAGTGGTGCACGAATTCTTGGGCTCAAGCAATCCTCTGGCTTCAGCCTCCTGAGTAATTGGGACTACAGTGACTTACCACAACGTCTGGCTAATTTTAACAATTTTTTGTAGAGATGAGGTCTTGCTATGTTACTTAGGCTGAAAACTTGTTGATAGATTTTGTTTCTAAGCAAATTTATTCCTCAGAGTACTGTAATGTTGGTAATAGTTTGCAGAAGGGAGTAAACAGAACTTTATGTTACTATTGCTTTATATGGTTGGGAAAGGACTTACTTTTTCAAACTTAAGAATTCTTTACCTTCACTCCAATTTATAGTATAGACTGATCATTTTAGATCATTTTTAAACT